CACACACACACACACACACACACACACACACACTCCTCCTCTTCCTCCTCCCTGCATCATCACAGCCCGCTCTGACCATCACACATTCACGTAACAAACACTCCGGTGAATAAGCTGACTTGCTGGAAATGTTCGAGGAGCTCACATTTGTCTGACAGCGCGCTGCGGTGGAAGATCGGAGCAAAGTGAAGCTGCACAAAAAAAAATTCAATAAAAGCAACAGAGAGAGAGAGAGAGAGAGGGAGAGAGAGAGAGAGAGAGAGAGGAGCAGGATTCCTGATTAGAACCAGTTTACTCCATTGAAGGTAAGTGAGAGTAATTTCAGTTAAAATAAAAAATATTGCTAACTAATAATAAAAATCTGCAAGAAATGAATTAGATTATTGAATAACTGCATTTGATCACATCTGGTAAAACTTTTACAGTAATAAGTTTTGCTTATGATTTTGACTTTAATGCTGTGCAGATGCACAATAAAAAGCTATATTTATATTTTTTCTGATGTTTTCTGTTCATTTCTATACTCAAATTTGTTAAAATGACTTCGCTGTCAGAAAATAAACTTAACACAAGTTGAAGCCGTCCTGCTCTCCTTTGAGTTCATCTTGAGCTCCTCTCAGTCAGTCCTCTTGCCTTCTTGTCGTTACTTTTCACYGTTTCACACCCAGCCGGTTGTCCTCACTTACACTGATGGTGCTTAAACCATCACTTGTCCAGACGGTGGATAMGTGGGCATGTCACAACACTTCTGCCCGAGAAGAGCTCTAATACAGTGAGTGTCTTCTGCAGAATAAATCAAAGCATGAAAGCTCTGTTCCTGCATATAGAAAACCAGTGAAGTGACTAAAAAAGAAATGCAAATCAAACTAATTTAATGCACAAAAGTTGGATCACTTCTGCTCTACTCAGGTCTTGGTGTAGAGAAAAGATTTGTGTTTTTGCATAAATCTTATTAAAGATAAGAGACAATAATTGATCATTTGTATATATGAGTAAAACCTCATATAACATTTTTTTGGTAATGTTTGTTTTCCCTTCTTGGAAACCAGTAACTTATTATTGGAACAAAAGTTCAACACTGAGTGTTTAAAAAGCTCGTTTGCTGCTTTTCAGAATAAGATTCTGCACTGACTGGAATACCTATGTGACATTTGATTTTATTGGGCGTTACCCTATAGGTTGGTAAGTTAAATCTGTCAGATAACTGGGMTCCTGTTATGTAACATTAGGTTCATGCAGGGTAAAATGGTGTATAACGTGCTGGATTATTACAATTGGACGACGTCCACGCTGACCGTTCTGGTTTTGTGAACTCTGTTTGAATCGGAGCTCTGTAGCAGCCTCCTGAAGTGGCAGCTGTCTTGGCCGGTGATGGCAGTGAGAACGCAGAGAGCTGTTCTGCACAGACAGTACTCTGGTGCATACTGTAGCACTTGGAAACCATGGCAACAAAACAACATCAGAAGAAACTGGTCAGATGAGCCAGTGATGCTTGAGAGAGGAGATGAATGGTTGACTCGATGCAGAGGGGAAAACAGGCACGAAAGAAGACTGATTCATGCTGATCAGAAAGTTCTGTCCACCTCTCGAGCCTTTTAGATAGAAAAAAAGGGAAACAAAATACTTTGCTGCTGTTTGGTTCTGACGTCATGTTGTTAAAAATGGGAGGAACGGTGGTGAAGTTGAACGTTGTTGCAACACAGTAAGGTTTCTGTAGAGGTGTTCMCTTTGTCTCTCCAGGTTTTCTTGTTGTACTCAGGCTTCCAAATGTAATGTGATGTCGTTATGTGTCTGTTAGCAAAACATCTCTCCAAACACTGAATGAATATTGATGAAAATCTCAAAAACGAATCAATCCTAGAAAACTGTCAGTAACCCAGTTGATTTCATAGATACTGACGTAGTAGTAGCTGATGATCTTACTATTTTTTTCCCATGTGTTTGTGATGGACTGGTTACTTGTTCAGGATGAGTAATTTCAAACTTCCTTCTCAACGACCCTGAACAGATTCAAAGCAGGTTTGGAAACTGTCTTAATGTCCTTGAAAACAAATAAAAAACTCCAAATGCATGACACATTTGTTCTTTGTGTTTACAGCCGAGAAGCGGGACATTAGAAAAAAAGAAACAAGGCATTAAGAGCTATAAATTTGGCTCAGGCATCATCGCTACCATCTGCCCCACGCCACCAAGCAGGTCCCTTTGAAGAGGCTCCGCTGCGGCCAAATTCACAGCTCTGGCCTGCTTCCACTGCCTCACATCGCTTTGACCAACAATCCAACTCCAAAATAGCAACATGAAAAAAATAAACAGCATATTTTTAGAAAACAACTTTGCGACAGAGTAGAGTTTTATTTTTTTATTTTTTACTTCTTGGCCCACATTTTCAAAAAAAAAGATGGACCATTATCATTAAATATAATTTATTTAGGCACAATGTATTTATTTAACTTACAGAGAGAGCAAAAGTCTTTAGGAGCGAGTCGGGGGCAGTCATTGCAGTGGGTTTGTAATTTTGAGGCTGCGGGTGCGAGTCCAGGTTGTGTCACTTCACCTGCTGTGATGACCCCTGCAGAATCTGAAGGAACAATAACAACAAACACTTCTGGAATAACTGAAAAATACAACCAGCCATGATTTCAGTATGAAAACATGGAGAGAAAATGGTGAAAACAACAAATTAACAACAACAACAACAACAACAACTATAATAATAATAATAATAATAATAATAATAATAAGTAGTTGTAGTAATAATCACATTCCAAAGACATAAATTACGTGAAAAACACGGACGTGTAGAAACATGGCCTAGGAAAAAAAATAAAAAAAATTAAAAAAAATAAAAACACAGAGTTAATATTGATATAAGAGCAAAAAGACATTTTGGTGTTTCAGTGACACTCTTCATAGGATAAATCGTTAAGCCATAGCTGCTTTTCTAATGATCACACAGGGGGGAGGCCTCAGCAGCATAAGGGTACTGTCATGGACTGCTGTCTTAAAAACAAGCTAGCTTGACTTTTTTAAAGTTAAATGTTGACTTAAACCAACTCCAAAACAAAGGCTGTTGTATAGAAGGAGGGAAATAAATAAATAAATAAATAAATAAATAAATAAATAAATAAATAAATAAATAAAAAGCTTCAAACTGTTGGACTGTTAACATGTTGATTGATGAGAAAGCTTTACTGCATTTATCAGTACTAATGCTTTTTACCAGCTAATCTGTTTATGCTAAATTTTTAATGTACAAAATAAAGTTTGAGTTCAGTTTTTAAATTCAACTTTCTTCTCAGTGGCTTCCAAAAGCCTTCCACTCATGGAGCTCCTCCAGAAAGATGAATGTTTCCTTCTACAGATGCACATCTCAGGTGTTCCTTAATTCAAATCAGATTAAAAAAAATCTGAGCAAATTCATTGTTGGGTTATTATTTTGAGGTAAGCACAGACATCCTCAGTGCTTGTGATATTGAATTGTCCTTCTAAAAGTTCACGGCCTTATTAAATGCTCAGTTTTTATTTATTAATTTTGTTTTTTTTGATGAAACCTCTTCCAGACACTCTCAGTAGGTGTGGGAGTTGATTTTCAGGCCATCTTCAACCTAAAACGGTCCAACCAGCTCATTTTTAATGAAAAGCACACGCTGCCTCTGCGTCCGACTTCAATTAGTTCTTCAGTGTTTCAGCCAGGGGCTCATCTCTGCTCCATAAAAAGGTCACTCTCATTTCACCTCCTTATGGAATCTTTTAAAGTCTGCTTTCAGGACCTTTGTGGCCTGGTTTTGTTGTCTAAGTTAGTAAATATTATTCTTACTTTTATGTTTGTTCTTAGAACTTGACACATGTAGTCGTATTAGGAGGGATGAATACGAGGAAACAGAAATATAATTTCCTTTCTTAAATTCTTTTTAGCAATTTGTACCCAATTTATGCAAACTATCTGTTCAAGCAAAACATTAGGTTGTTCAATARTCACAATGAGTAGCTCATTTTGAGTTGCAACACAAAAAAAAGTAAATTTGGTGCTTTTAAGGCAGAAAATTGCAAATATAAGTGGGGTATCATGATTATTTTATCACAGTGACCCAGAGAAAAAGTCTTGGAGACAGAAGTCCTATCATAACTCTGATAACATGTTCATCTGTGAAGATAACTTCTGTTCAGTATGTAATGTTCTGTCCTGCATTCACTTTCAAAATAACCAGAAAAATATTTGACTTATGATGCTACTTTGGAAGAATAAGATCCATATTTGACTGTTTGAGATACAATGATGCCAGCTCCAGCTCTCAGTTAATAAGCCCTTCATTTAATATGAAGTAAAAAAAAATACATATATATTTAATTTTCATATTGGTGTTTTAATAATTTTACCTTAAATAATGAAGCTGTTAATAAGACATAAAATGAAAGCTTTGTAATATAATGTACCTTCACAATCAGTATAGTACAAATTGAATAACTAGGAAAGGCTTTTAAATCAATAAGTAATTAAAGAACTGTGATATCTGCTTTTAACATATTTGTGACAATACCTTGCACATTTGCACAACATAAATAATGTTTGCACTTTTTGAATCGGTAGCAGTACTGCAAAACTATTTGCATCCTAGATTTTAAATGTGTTTTAGTTTACATATTTCCTCTTTGGGAGTTAATTTCATTTCTTTAAATTAGTTTAGCTTAGAGTTTATTTCAGTACTCTTAAAGTAAGATTTAATCACTGTTTTACTGAGTGTGAGACAACAGGCTTCTCCAATCTACTAAACCTTTACCTGAGTGCTGTAAAACTGAAATCAGGTTAATATATTGTCTCTAAACGACTTGCTTTTTGCTCCGTCATATAATGATTTCAGTATTTACTGCATTACTGAAACATTCTCTCTGACTGCTGTCATTACTGATTGTGAGGACGATACTTTGTTTGAACTGCAGCTTTAAGGTTCAAAAAATGGAAGACAAATTACAGCTTGTTCACGGTTTAAACTTCAGGTCAAATTTGTTTCATTTTCTTCATGTAACTCTAACACTCAAGCTTTAGTCAAGTTTCCTTATGGGTCAGTGTATCTTTTGGTCATTGGTTTTTCATTTTGGAAATGGGTATTAAAAAACAAGAATTGAGTGGATATTTGATTTTTGTTTAAAAATACTGAAATTAAAATTCAAAGCGTTTCTCATTCTTAGTGTCAAAAGGGGATGRATAAAATTTTTAAATGATTTGAGTTTCATTTTCTGTTTCAGATAGCATAAAAGAAAATTACTTTAAGACAGAAACGAAAAAAAGGCTTGTTTGTTCATAATC